CTCAAGACAAGTGACTCAAGAATATGTCTCCCCATACCCAGGTTCCATTGCATATAGAATGTAATGCGTGAATAGGAATACTTCGTTTATCTGTATATGAATATGGGAACTCCCTGATGATGGATATTAATTGGCTATGGCATAGTAATGAAAACAAGGGCAATCTTTTCATGGTCAATGGCTTTACATTTTTTGCAGGGGGTCCAGTGTACAAGATGATGGAAGGTAGCTGGAATCCAGGTTTCTATTTCTTTATGCAGGAGGTTAGTTTAGTGGGATTAGGTTTTTTTTTTTTTTAACTATATCCTAAATTAAGGCCTTCAAGTACAGTTTTTGCGTGGTTTTGCTCCCAAATCATAGGAAACCAGACCATCGATTTCTAACACCTCTGATTGAAAGTAACTCTGGAAGCCATAAAATAGATCACTGAAACGAAAGGATAGTTAAAAGAAACCTCAGGGCACGACCCTGACAACTCAACTTCTTTGGAGCTGATCAGGCTCCTCAACGCCGACTCGACAAGTTCCCAGCCACAGAAATACCTGGACTGTTTCATTCTCGAGCGCAGCAATTCCACAGCCGGAATACTTCTTACATAGTAAAGTACATATCAGAAATTCCAAAGAAACCAAAAATCCCCAGTGGGACTTCTTACCTTAGAAAAAGAGTACCTTCTTACCTTAGAACTTTGAAGCAATGGTGTGGGTAATACCTGGAAGGAGCAGCTGAGAGCAAATGTTCAGCTTGTCCCTTCCCGGCCAATGCACCAAAACTGTCAGGGAAAAAAACCACGTTAAACACGGGAGGCAGATACACCATAAAACAAATCACCTCAAAGCTCTAAGTTCTTCTTAAGAGCTTTATTAAAAGTTAGTTCAGCAAGAAAGTAAAGTGCAATCAATAACATACAAGGTACTTACTTAGATACACATTGCAATGTGGACAGACAGGAGCAGGCCGTCACTTGGACAGCCTAACCCGTGTGGGTGGAGACCCCCAAATTGCAATCCTTTTTATATTAAAAGTTAGTTCAGCAAGAAAGTAAAGTGCAATCAATAACATACAAGGTACTTACTTAGATACACATTGCAATGTGGACAGACAGGAGCAGGCCGTCACTTGGACAGCCTAACCCGTGTGGGTGGAGACCCCCAAATTGCAATCCTTTTTATCCTTTAAAACCGCAAACCACAATCATGACTCTTAGGATTGTCATAATGTCCCCAGAGCTAATTTCACCACACTTTCCCGTTCCCTTCGTCCCTTTCACATCTATTCCCATCAACAAGTCTGCTTATTTAACAGTTTGCTCTGGTTTTGCAAGGATTATTTCTTGTCAGTGCCCCACAGGTCATCTCCAAGCTAGCCCTTGCTTTTATTATTAAATGTGATTAA